TATATATATATATGTGACCCTGGACCACAAAACCAATCATAAGGGTCAATTTTTCGATTTATACAACTATTTGAAAATCTGGAATCTGAGGGTGCAAAAAAATCAAAATATTGAGAAAATCGCCTTTAAAGTTGTCCAAATGAAGTTCTTAGCAATGCATATTACTAATCAAAAATTAAGTTTTGATATATTTACAGTAGGAAATGTACAAAATATCTTCATGGAACATGATCTTTACTAAATATCTAAATATAATGATTTTTGGCATAAAGGAAAAATCTATAATTTTGACCCATACAATGTTTTTTTGGCTATTGCTACAAATATACCCCAGCGACTTAAGACTGGTTTTGTGGTCCAGGGTCACATACATATGTGAGGGTTTTGGCTTTTCTCTCATTACTGGTGACGTTTCATTAATATGTATTAATAATGTTTAATCAGTGACTCATTACTCCATGTGGCTGCTGGTGAGCTGGGCTCACTGCTGTTCTCTGGTGAAATCCAGCTTGGCTGATAGTGAACATCTGCACGACTGGCTAAAGAAGCTCACGCTGCTCATACCTGAGGTAAACGAAAGAATGTCATGATTTTATCCATCTCTGAAATTAATTCTACTGATCAAATTGAGGTTACCTGAGCGGGGAACAATTATATCCCCCAATCAAACCATAGCTATTCAAACCAGTCAAAAAAAACAAGCTCTAATCTACTTTGCACAAAATATTTGTGAGATATATATTGAATATTCTAGGGAATGCATGTTAAATGTTTTGTGAATGCCATTTATTTATTTTTTAAAAGTTACATTTATGCATTTGGCAGACAGTTTATCGAAAGTCACTTACATTGCATTCAGGGTATACATTTATCATGAGTTGTGTTCCCTGGGAATCAAACGCATGACCTTGATATTGCTGTCACCACGCTCTGCTGTTTGAGCTGCAGGAATGCTGTTTTGGGTTGTATTTTTATAGTTTGTATTGTCGTATTGTATCTGCAGACGGCGGTGCGTCAGGAGGCGTGCAGTGGTCTGTATAAGCTGTCTCTGTCAGGTCTGGAGGGAGGAGAATCCATCAATAGATCCTTCCTGCTGCTCGCAGCGTCCACACTGCTCAAGTTCCTGCCAGACGCACAAGCGCTTAAACCCCTGAGAGTAAGTACAAACACTGACAATGTCTATGTGCTTGTGTTAGTTTAGTATTATTTATATACTATTATATACTATTTGTGTGTGTGTGTGTGTATATATATATATAATTAGCTTTCATTTTAGTTTTTGTAAAGTTTTTGATAATTTTATAATGTGCTTTTGTCATTTTATTTAATATTTCTAAATAGTAGATTTAAATTAGAATTCAATTTTTTTACTTCATTTATTTTATTTTAGTTTTAAAAATGGCTTCATGCATCCATTTCAGGTTTTAAATTATTTTTCAGGTTTAGTTTTATTCATTTAGTACTTATAGTACACAGACCTTTTTAAGTTCGTTGCCAAGGCAACATTTTTGTTGCTAATATGTATATTTATAATTTAAATATAAATTAAATTACATTATATTTATAATTTATATTAATTAATAATTTATTTTCTATTTCCGCTTTATTTCAGTGAACAAAAATGTTTTTAATAGATTTAGTTTTAGTTAACGTTAAAGTTTTAGTTTAGATAACAACTCTGGCTCAGTGTTATTTGCCCATTTGATTTTTTTGATGCACAATTCCTTTAAATGAGTGTATGTGTGTGCGTTTCGCCGGTGCAGCTGGAGGATTTTGAGGAGGAGGCCATGTTTCACACCGGCTGTAAGGAGTATTTCTGGCTGCTCTGTAAACTCATTGACAACATCCACGTGAAAGACGCCAGTCAGACCACCCTGCTGGACCTGGACGCTCTGGCGCGACACCTCGCCGACTGCATCCGCAGGTCAAACACGCTCCTTTTGCTTGGATTACGGCATCAGTTTCTTTATGAACCCGTAACTTACCCCTTCAGAGCGCAACCACAAGCAAACAAACTTTTTTAGTTTTAATGGAAAATCACTGGTAACATTATGCTACTAAGAAAGTAACTGAGCAAAAATGCACCATTTATCTTTCTAAATACTGAGCATGCTGTTGTTTTTCCACTTGCAGTCGTGAGATTTTGGACCAGCAGGATGGGGCGATCGAGGACGACGGTCTGACGGGTCTCCTGCGTCTCGCCACCAGCGTCCTGAAGCACAAACCTCCCTTTAAGTTTTCTCGGGAGGGTCAGGAGTTCCTCAGGGACACGTATGACCTGCTGTTCCTGCTGCCCAGCCTGAAGGACCGGCAGCAGCCCAAATGCAAGAGTCCCGCGGCCCGCGCCGCGGCCTACGACCTGCTGGTGGAGGTGGTCAAGGGTTCGGTGGAGAACTACAGACTGCTGCACAACTGGGTCATGTCGCAGCACATGCAGGGTGAGCGCTACAACCATGAGTGTGTTGCACTATTCTTCTGTGGACATTTCTGATTTGTGTTGTCTTTAAATTAGGCTGATTAGATTTTTGGTAACAATTTACTATAAACTTTCTTAGTTAACCGTAGTTAGTTAACATGAACTAACAATGAAAAATTCTTCTTAATGTTAATATCATTACATGTACTAATCATTGACTGTATAAAAACATGGACGTAGTGTCCGTGACGTCACCTGTTTATTTCTGAGGAGCGTTTTTGAAGCCTAAAGTAGGCGGAGCCGGCCGTCGTCATCTTGGCAGCCCGTCACCGCGCGTCACTCCCGGATAATCGAAAATGGGCAAAGAGGCAGGAGCTGGTTGCTGAAGCCACGCCCACCTAGCTCGACGGTGGTGACAGCAGCGGCAATCCACCTGTCACTCAAGTGGCCACGCCCCTCACAGTTGTCATGAAGGGCATTAAATTAGCTATATAGACCACTTTTTGTACCAGGCTGTAAACATTTTTTTCTGCTGTAAAGTTGGGCATTTTAACATGGGGGAGTCTATGTGACTGACTCCCTTTTGGAGCCAGCCTCTAGCGGCCCATCGACTGGCCGCTAGAGGCTGGCTCCAAAAGGGAGTTGTTTTAGTCACTTCCGTGTTGGTTTCACGAGAGAGAGCGGAAGGTTGCCGCTTGGTACTAATAGATTTTTTTTTTAAATCAGAACTTTCTGATGTAATATATCTGTTAATATTGTTTAATAAACCTGATCTAACATGAACTAACAAGGAACAGGTGTATTTTTATTAACTAACATTAACAAAGATTTATAAATACTGTAACAAATGTATTGCTCATTGTTAGTTAATGCATTAACTAAAGATGGTTATTGTAAAGTGTTACTGATTGATTTTTTAAAATCCAAACCCTTATTTAGATAAAGAATTATTTTTTATTAAGGTTGTCATAAATTGATTTTAGGAGGTTTCACTATGCTTTTTAGATCTCACAAGTATTAAAAAACATACACAAAATGTACATGATATTTTTATTAGTTTTTTTGTTTTTAAATTTAAATAAAAAAATTTAGCTTTCTTTTTTTCCATTTTTATTTTTAGTAATTTTAGTACTTCAATTTAAGTGAGTGAGTGAAGTAAACTAGAGCTGCACGATTAATCGAAATTAAATCGCGGTCGCGATTAGGCAGAAGCTGCAATTGCCATGTGTATCTTTCAGTGAAGCACGGTTCTGTGATCAGCAGTAAATCTCCATCCGAAAGCCAGAGGGCGCTCTCGCGCTGAAACTCCAAATACACCTCGCAGAAGAAACCCAGGAAATGCCTATAGGGGTTGCTGAATAAACAGAAGATTTAACTGCTTTCATTAATACAACGTGACTAATAAACACACGACTACGACAATATATGGTTAATCTGAGTTCATCTTATTACAATGTTTATTATAATAAAGTATAAAATAATGCAATGCTAATCTTCATAGCCTTTATCACTGCTTAGAATACAATGAATACATGTTGCGTGCCTTATTCTGTGTAAGAAGCCACATCATCTCACAGAAGGATTTATTTCAAACACTCAACTGACGTTATGAAGTGAGTTTGGAGTAAAAACATGTTATTAAATGTGGTATTTTCACATGCTTTCAGATGGAGCAGCATTTACTACACAGAGCCATAGTTCACTGAGAAGATACGCAAACAGCTTTCATAATCGCTGAACGATTTCTTCGATTTCATAATCGCGCGGTTAAATCTTCTGCGATTATGAACGTGATTTTGCGTAGCTTGTCAGTGAACTACGGCTCTGTGTAGTAAATGCTGCTCCATCTGAAAGCACGTGATGGAGATTTACTACTAATCACAGAACCGGCGATGCGCATGGCAATCGCATTCGATTAATCGTGCAGCTCTAATTTAAACGTATTTTATTTACGACAAAAAAAAAAATTTTTATTTATTTTTTTAAGTATTTTATATTATTGTATTTTTTCAGCTTAATTTCAATTAACGAAAACAATTTTAATAGTTTTAGTTTTTGTTAATATCAACACTGATAAATGCATACTTGCGTATATGTAAACATACACGCCTTGGTTTGATCTTTGGTGTGTGTTTGTTTGTTTGTTTGTTTTTTTAGCGTCTCATGCTCCGTATAAATGGGATTACTGGCCTCATGATGATGTCAGAGCCGAGTGCCGTTTTGTGGGATTGACTAACCTTGGCGCCACGTGTTACCTGGCCTCCACCATTCAACAGCTCTACATGATCCCAGAGGCCAGACAGGCCGTCTTTACTGCTAAAGTGAGTTCATAAAACAAGTCTGATCTGATCAGATGTTTTCTATTTGTAATATATATTAAAATGTAATTTATTCCTGTGATCAAAGCTGAATTTTCAGCATCATTACTCCAGTCTTCAGTGTCACATGATTCTTCAGAAATCATTCTAATATGCTGATTTGCTGCTCAAGAAACATTTCTGATTATTATCAATGTTGAAATAATGAAACTTAATATTTTGCGTAAAACTATGATACGTTTCGTTTCAGGATTTTGTGATGAAAAGAAAGTTCAAAACAACAGCATTTATTTGAAATATAAATCTTTTGTAACGTTATAGATGCTTTTACTTTTACTTTAGATCAATTGAATATGTCCTTGCTTTATAGAAGCATCTAAGCTGTCGTGACATAAATGTGATAATACATGACAGGCCATGCATTACCATCATTTTACCACAGTTAAAATAATTGGAATGTACATTCCTGCGTGGCTTTTTGTTTAATAACACACAGACGCCATTGTTTGGTTTAAAATGGTTTGTTGGATTTGTGCTTTATAGTAATATCTGTGTTTGTGTCTGTGTTGATATACAGTATTCAGAGGACATCAAGCATAAGACCACATTGCTGGAGCTGCAGAAGATGTTCACTTATCTAATGGTATGTGACTTTATCACATGATGCAATCTCATGACTGCAGATGTGATTTTAATGTTTCTCCGATGTGCAGGAGAGTGAGAGGAAGGCGTATAACCCTCGTCCCTTCTGTAAGACCTACACGATGGACAAACAGCCTCTGAACACAGGAGAGCAGAAAGACATGACCGAGTTCTTCACAGACCTCATCACCAAGATAGAGGAGATGTCTCAGGACCTGGTACGACATCCGTCTCTGTGTGTTTAAAAACCGCTTCGAGTGAGTTTAGTGAAACAGTAATATAATGTAATGCTCGTGTGCTTGTTGTTTCAGAAAAACACAGTCAAAACGCTGTTTGGAGGCATCATCACCAACAATGTGGTTTCACTGGTAAGACTTGAGCTGTTTGAACCTGCAGCTCTTGTGTGTGGATGTGTCTTTTCTGAAAGAGACCGGTCGTGGATGAGCGTTTGATTGGATATCTGTGTGTGTGTGTAGGACTGTGATCACGTGAGTCAGACGGCTGAGGAGTTTTACACAGTCAGATGTCAGGTGGCCGATATGAAGAACATCTATGTGAGTGTTTCTCATTTTCACACACATAAACACACTCATCTGAAGGAAACTCCATGCTCTTTGTGTACAGGTCATTAACAGGAACAGGATTTAGAGGTTTTACTACTAAATATGGGTTTTTCAATGGATGTTTTTTTTTTTTATGTCATGTGATGGTAGCTTTGCATAGTACTGATAGCTATTTGTAGTTACTAATGCTAAAGCACTATATCATTTCAAGCCTGCAACAGTACATTTGGTATTGATGCACTTAATATTTGAATTGTTTACTGAGTAAACATTGCTCGATTTTTATGTCACACATTGTAATTGGAAAAAAAATATATTAGTAACCCATAATAGAAAAACACTATTACAATCAACATGTTTTGGGTGGGTCAGTGGAAGAATGGCTAATAGCCTTGTCTGTAAATAACACCACATTATTTACAGTCAGTTTTTTTTTTGTACTTCGTGCCAAGAGAAATACTTTGTCTGCCAAAAAAAAAAATTTATCGGTGTCATTTTTTCTCATGACAGAGCTTGATGAGGCCAAAATAAGTATAAAACATAATGAAATACTACTTAAGACTGCTTTATGTTTTTTACATATTGCTCTCATAATGTTATGTGAGATTACATTACAGAGTTTGAATGAGATTAAACTATTATGTCAGAAAATGCCTTAATCATAAAACAACATTAAATATTTTTTTCTATATAAACCAAATACTGTTTAAAAGTTTTTGTTTGTTTGTTTTTTGAGAGAGAGAGAAGTCTCTTATGTTCACCAAAGCTGCATTGTTTTTTAAAAATCAAAAATACAGTAAAAATAACTGTTTTCTATTTGAATATATTGTAAACTGTAATTTATTCCTGTGATCAAAGCCGAATTTTCAGCATCTTTACTCCAGTCTTCAGTGTCACATGATCCATCAGAAATCTTTCTAATATGCTGATTTGCTGATGAAGAAACATATTATAAAAAAGTAATATGACAGGGTTGTCCTGTTGGTTATATCAGTATAATAAGTCAACGAGATAACCAGAGCACACAAATGAAGCATTTCAAGTCCTTTTATTCCCCCGATTGAGAGTTACTGAAACCACCAGTCAAACAGAATCCAGCCCTAAAATGAATATAAATACATCATCCGTGTCTCCGTCTCTGCGCTTCAGGAGTCTCTGGACGAGGTGACCATTAAGGACACTCTGGAGGGTGATAACATGTACACCTGCTCTCAGTGTGGGAAGAAAGTCCGTGCTGAAAAACGGTACAGTTTGCTTTTTTCTTCTTCTGAGAGCTGAAATCTTTCTGTCAAGGCACCTTAATATTTTCTGACAGCTCTTTCTGTCTCTCAGGGCTTGTTTTAAGAAGCTCCCGCGGATCTTGAGCTTTAACACCATGCGCTATACATTCAACATGGTGACCATGATGAAGGAAAAAGTAAACACGCACTTTTCTTTCCCGCTGCGGCTCGACATGACGCCGTACACCGAGGACTTCCTCATGGCCAAGGGAGACAGGAAGGAAGGTAAAGCGATTGTTCTGCTGAAACACAGCCTTTTTAAATTGTGTTTGTCTTCTCCAGTCGGCTAATCATGATGTCATTCGCAGGTTTCCGTGATGACAGTGATGCCAAAGTGGCGGAGAGTTACGAGTATGACCTCATCGGTGTGACGGTGCACACGGGCACGGCGGACGGCGGCCATTATTACAGCTTCATCAGGGACATCGTCAACCCGCACGCTTACCGCAATAACAAGTGGTGATTATTCACACTGCATTTACAGCTGCTGAGTCATTTCAGCCCAAAGTCTGTTATTGAGAACTGACCAACATGTGCGTTTGTGATGATGCCGTTTCCTGTTGCAGGTACCTGTTTAACGACGCTGAGGTGAAGTCGTTTGATTCGGCTCAGCTGGCCTCAGAATGTTTTGGTGGAGAGATGACGGTATGTTTTTTGATATTTTTCCCATCAGATCAAGTCATCCTATATACTTTTGGGATAAACTAATATAAATAACAGTCTAGTTAATGTTGTTTTAATTCAGAAATGCTCATGTCTCATTTCAGACAAAAACATATGACTCTGTCACAGACAAGTTCATGGATTTCTCCTTTGAGAAGGTTGGTTTTGCGATAATAACAACAACAACAACAGTAATAATAATTATAAAAGAACAGAATAATCATGATAAATATGATTTGATAAATTAATGATTATTATTATTTCATTTTATTTTGCATATTAATTGTAATTATTATAGTAATAGTAATACATATTTTTGTACAATATTATTTTATATATTATAATAAATAATAATAGATTGTTATTACTATTATTTATATATTATTTTTTATATTCATTATAATTGTAAAAATTCTTATTCTTATTTAAATAAGTCTCGCTCAAGATTGTAAACTGCCCATAAATGCTCTGTAAACAAAGTAACGTGTGATGTGTCTGTCTTTCAGACCCACAGTGCCTACATGCTGTTCTATAAGAGAGTGGAGGTGGAGGAGGAGAATGAGAAGGACTTGAACTTTGACATTTCTCCAATGCTCGTCTCATTTTAGACAAAAACATATGACTCTGTCACAGACAAGTTCATGGATTTCTCCTTTGAGAAGGTTGGTTTTGCGATAATAACAACAACAACAACAGTAATAATAATTATAAAAGAACAGAATAATCATGATAAATATGATTTGATAAATTAATGATTATTATTATTTCATTTTATTTTGCATATTAATTGTAATTATTATAGTAATAGTAATACATATTTTTGTACAATATTATTTTATATATTAATATATATTTTATATTGTATTATAGTAAAAAAATATTTTATTATAATAAAATATTATCATAATTATTAAAGTAATAATAAATTATGATTTCATTTTATTTTACATATTAATTACATGCATTATAATAATAGTATCACATTTTTATATATTATACATAATTTTTTTATTTATTATAATTATAGTAATCAATTATAGGTTGTTGTGTTGCTGTTATTATTATTATTATTTCATTTTATTTTATATATTAATTATAAGAATTTTATTAATAGTAATACTTTTTTATATATTGTTATTATTTTATATATTCATTTTACATTATTTTTATATTATAATTATTATAGTAATAAATAATAATAGATTGTTATTACTATTATTTATATATTATTTTTTATATTCATTATAATTGTAAAAATTCTTATTCTTATTTAAATAAGTCTCGCTCAAGATTGTAAACTGCCCATAAATGCTCTGTAAACAAAGTAACGTGTGATGTGTCTGTCTTTCAGACCCACAGTGCCTACATGCTGTTCTATAAGAGAGTGGAGGTGGAGGAGGAGAATGAGAAGGACTTGAACTTTGACATTTCTCCTGACCTTCTGGAGGTACAGACAGAGATTATCTTACTATAGGGAGGATAAGAGGGTCTGTATTACTTGCTATTGGAGAAAGCGTAACGGCTAACTTTGATCACGTGTCCCTTAATAACCAATCACATTACAGCCTTGACATCATTGATATTCAGTCAGAGTTGTGCAACACTCAATCGCCATTTACGGATCCCATAGGAATGAATGGGAAGTGCTGTAAGCTGAGTCACACCTGTCGCAAAAAGTCAGCGACTTCTCTTATTAAAAAAGCATTTTTTTCGTGGTAAACTCGAAAAATAGTTAAATCCAAAAGTATTGTTTAGTGTAAAACATGTTGAAGATTAGCAGATAGGCTGTCGATTAATTAAGTGATGAGTCGTTTCCTCTAAAAAGCTGTTTATTCAGCGTAGTGAAGCCTCTCCTCCATTGACATCCATTAAAAAAAAACGGCCTCTGGTCTCCTTTCCCACGTACTGCCAGACCGGAAGCGTTAGATTTAGGCGTTACGCTTTTTCGGCTAATGGTTGCAGGCTTGCCTTCTAGTGGCTTTGGTACAGACCTCTCACCGTCAGTCTTCACTGCACACATCTGAGCATTTCACTGACGCTTCATCTCTCTCTGTCTCTCTCATAGTGGATCTGGCACGACAACATGCAGTTTCTCCAGGACAAGAACATCTTTGAACACACATACTTTGGGTAAGAGAACAGTCTAGAACAATTTCACAAAACTATGGATATCTTTGATAACTCTTTTCTTTTCTGTTTATATGCGTGTATGGTGATATATAGTAAGTCTAAACGTCTATATGCAACATTCTCTTTCTTTCCTTTTTTTAATCTAAAATATTATTTTATTTAAAATGAATGTATATTATCTGTCCTCTCATTCTCTTCTATTTTCTCTTTCATTCGTTTCTTTTGCTGTCTCGCTGTAGTTTTATGTGGCAGCTGTGCAGCAGTATTCCCAGCACTTTACCCGATCCGAAATCCGTGTCGCTCATGACGGCTAAGGTGAGTCTGACCACATGAACAGCATTATCAGAGCAGCACGCCATCTCCATCATCTCCATCATCATCATCATCAGCTATACTTTCAGACGGAACATCTTGAGTTATTGTCCTCGAGGTTCAAAATTTGAGTCATTTTCCTCTCTTTCTCTCACAGCTCAGCACATCGTTTGTTCTGGAGACATTCATCCACTCCAAAGAAAAGGTGAGATGGAGTTTACTTCTCTTGTGTTGTTCTTTCTGTTGTAACTTACAGGACAAGCCTGATGCCATTTTCTGTGGTGTTTAATAGTTGTTGTTTTTTTTTCCATTTTTGTAAGTCAGTTTTACTTTTTTATTTTTTTTCTCAGCCCACAATGCTGCAGTGGATCGAACTCTTGACCAAACAATTTAACAATAGCCAAGCTGCCTGCGAGGTAACACACACACACACACACACACTTTACATCTAGCTTATTTGTTCATAGCATCTTCTGCTCTGGAAAATCACTTGTGAGCAAAATGAATGGAGTGAGTTGATGAGATCAGCATTGTTATTGGGTAGTGCTGTGTGTGTGTGTGTGTGTCACTAATGTGTCCTATCTGTGTGTGTGTGTGTGTGTCATTAATATGTCCTATCTGTGTGTGTGTGTGTCACTAATGTGTCCTATCTGTGTGTGTGTGTGTGTGTCATTAAGTGTGTGTGTCACTAATGTGTCCTATCTGTGTGTTTGTGTTTGTGTGTGTGTGTCACTAATGTGTCCTATCTGTGTGTTTGTGTGTGTGTGTGTGTGTGTCACTAATGTGTCCTATCTGTGTGTTTGTGTTTGTGTGTGTGTGTCACTAATGTGTCCTATCTGTGTGTTTGTGTGTGTGTGTGTGTGTGTCACTAATGTGTCCTATCTGTGTGTTTGTGTTTGTGTGTGTGTGTCACTAATGTGTCCTATCTGTGTGTTTGTGTTTGTGTGTGTGTGTCACTAATGTGTCCTATCTGTGTGTTTGTGTGTCATTAATGTGTCCTCTCTGTGTGTTTGTGTGTGTGTGTGTTTGTGTGTCATTAATGTGTCCTATCTGTGTGTGCGTGTGTTTGTGTGTCATTAATGTGTCCTATCCGTGTGTGTGTATGTTTGTGTGTCATTAATGTGTCCTATCTGTGTGTGTAGATTCTCATCAAGTGTCCCAATCAGATTGTACGTCAGGTGAGTGTTACATAAACAACTTTATTTATATGTAATTTTAAATAAATATAATTATAATTCTTATTTTTATCATAATTATTAACAGACAAACCCACACCCTTCCCCTTAAAGAAAACATTTAGTTAAAAAACAACAAAAAAAAAAAAACAGTTTTTCGGATAATTTGATTAAATTAACATATAATACTCATAATGTGATGTTTCAGATGTTTCAGAGGTTGTGTATTCACGTGATCCAGCGCCTCAGACCGGTCCACGCTCACCTGTACCTGCAGCCGGGCATGGAGGACGGGTGTGTGATGCATCCCTTTTTGTCTTCCTCTGGAGCCAAATAACATCCTTTCTTCATGTCTTCAAAGCCATGTGCTGTTATACTGTCAGGAAAATAGGGAATTGTTCTATAAACCTTCTCATTTCTGCTGGCTGTTGTTGTTCTGCTCTGTCTGCAGCTCTGATGATATGGACGGGCCGGTGGAGGACATCGGCAGCCGCTCATGTGTGACGCGGTTCGTCAAAACGCTGCTGTCAATCATGGAGCACGGAGTGAAGCCGCACAGCAAACATCTGACTGAATACTTTGCCTTCCTCTATGAGTTTGCCAAAATGGGAGAAGAGGAGGTAACATCTACTTACTCACTCACTCACTTACTTTTATTTATTTATTCTTTTTAAACGGAGAGTTCCGGTCCTTGATTCTGATTGGCTGAGCCACGTTCGAAGCTGTTGTAAATTACACTACAAACATACACCTTTGTTTACTTCTGTGTTGCTCGACAACCACTTGGTTGCAACCACAACCGATTCTGAGGAACTACATTGTTTGGTGGAAGAATACTGTTTTTATTTATATCATTACACTTTATTTGCTCGGTTTTATTCTGTGAAACCTAACTAAGTATATGGAATAACCGTTTTATAAAATCAATAAGCCCCGTGAAGCCGTGGTTTACAGGGAATTTATAACAGCTAAGGGGTTTTTACTCCGCTTCGCATCGTGTCTAACAACGCCCCTTAGCTGTTAGAAATTCACTGTAAACCACGGCTTCACGGGGCTTATTGCTTTAATTTATTTATTTATTTTTTACCTACTTGTTTATTTGCTTTTTTTACTTTATGTATTTATTTATCTATTTAATTTCTGTATTTATTTACTCATTTGTTTTACTTTATTTACCTAGTTATTTATTTTATTATTTATGTATCTACTTTAGTTATTTTACTTATTTAATGTATTTATTTACATACCTACTTATTTATTTTACTTGCTTCATTTTAGGTATTTATTTATTATTTACTAAAATTGGACAATTTTTAAAGTATATTCTTTATTTTCTTGCTTTAATTTATTTCTTTATTTTTACCTACTTGTTTATTTACTTTTTTTGCTTTATGTATTTATTTAGCCATTTCATTTCTGTATTTATTTACTTATTTGTTTTACTTTATTTACCTACTTATTTATTTCTATTTATCTATTTACTTATTTAATTTGTTTTATTTTACTCATGTATTTACTTTATTTACCTACTTATTTATTTTACTTATTTACTTTTATTTGCTTATTTTACCCGTTTCATTTTATTTATGTATCTACTTTAGTTACTTTACTTATTTAATGTATTTATTTACTTTATTTTTTTACTTATTTATTTATTTATTTACGTACCTACTTATTTATTTTACTTGCTTCATTTTAGGTATTTATTTATTATTTGCTAAAATTGGACAATTTTTAAAGTATATTCTTTATTTTCTTGTTTTAATCTTTTTTTTTTCTTCTTCTTTTTGTCTTCACAGAGTCAGTTCCTCTTGTCTTTGCAAGCCATTTCTATAATGGTGCATTTCTACATAGGCACTAAAGGACCTGAAAATGTGAGTGGCATCTCATCAGGCTTGATCTTTGATTCAGGGTTTCCCTGATCTCAGATCATCACGTCCATCTCTCTGTCTCTCAGCCTCAGGTGGAGGTGTTATCTGAGGAGGAGGAGGGTGAGGAGGATGAAGAGGAGGACATCCTCTCACTGGCGGAGGAGAAGTACAGGCCAGCCGCTCTGGAGAAGATGATCGCGCTCATAGCTCTGCTGGTGGAGCAGTCCAGATCCGAGAGGTACACACTGAAGAATTGGGTTTTAATCTCACAAAACATACCATATTTCACCCCAAGTGGATCATATTTCATCCCAAAATTCCTTTAAAGAAAATGAAACCTGTGTTAGGGCTGTTGAAAGTAATTTCTGTAGTGTTGTTGGCATCAGTCATTTGTACTTTTTTCTTTTTAACCGAGGCTTTGTTTTAGTAACATCTGATTGTCTCCGTCTATCTGCAGACACTTGACTCTGTCTCAGAGTGACATGGCCGCACTGACCGGAGGAAAAGGCTTCCCCTTCCTGTTCCAGCACATCAGAGACAGCATCAACATCCGACAGACTTGCAACCTCATATTCAGCCTCTGCAGATACAACAACCGCCTGGCTGAACATGTAAGACGCACGCTAGCTACGCACGTAGTGTATCTCCGTGTCCTTCATGTATTTCTAAGCATGCAAACAATTATATCAAGCTATAACATAACTTCTCATGGTTTGTGCTCTTCTGTTGGTATAGATCGTGTCAATGCTGTTCACCTCCATCGCTAAACTGACCCCAGAGGTAAGAACAACTCTACTACTATTATTGATTCATTATTTGATTGTTCCACACACTAACTAACATTTTGTGCATGCCTATCAGGCGGCAAATCCGTTCTTCAAGCTGCTGACGATGCTGATGGAGTTTGCTGCAGGTCCTCCGGGAATGCCCTCGTTTGCGTCCTACATCCTGCAGAGGATCTGGGAGGTAAATCGGCCCACAGACAGCCCCATCACTCTTACACTTTCTCACTTCTTCACTGAAATGTTGCTTCACATCTGAGTTCTGTGTCAGTGATGTTTGGAGAGCTTCATACGCTGATGTTCTGATCTCTGTCTGTCAGGTGATCGAGTATAACCCGTCTCAGTGTTTGGACTGGTTGGCCGTTCAGACTCCGCGTAATAAGCTGGCTCACAGCTGGGTCCTGCAGAACATGGAGAACTGGGTGGAGAGGTTTCTGCTGGCGCACAACTACCCACGAGTCCGAACATGTAAGAACACACAAAATCTACACACACACATGCATTAAATTGACCAAAAATATTAACTGTTTTCAACGAGTATAATAATAATAAATGGTTCTTGAGCAGCAAATCAGCATTTTAGAAGGATTTCTGAAGGATCATGTGACACTGATGATGCTGAAAATTCAGCTTTGATCACAGGAATAAATTACATTTTAAAATACTGTATATTTACATAGAAAACAGCTATTTTAAATTGTAAGAAGATTTCACAATATTACTGTATTTTTGATCAAATAAATGCAGCCTTGGTGAGTTATAGTTTTATGTTAATAGTTTTTGTTAATATTTTAAGTTAAAATTTTTTTAAAATATTTTCTTTTTTCATTTTAGTTTTAAACATTTTATTGTGTATTGATATTTGTATTAGTTATTTTTTTCTTTTAAATGTCAATTTAGTTTTTATTAAGTTTAATTTATTCGTTTTACTTAATTTAGTATTTTAACTAAAACTAAATGAAAATGAGTACTGTTGCTTTGGCAACTAGCTGAAATAAGTAAGTTAAGTTTTTTTGTATTTTATTTTATTTCAGCTAATGTTTATTTTATTTCGTGCAACTAAAATGTTTTATTTTTTATTGTTTTACTTTATGATAATAACGCTGCCCCAAGCTTTTGAACTGTAGTGTATATTTGAATACACATGATAAGAGCATCAAGAACTACACACATGCTTAAAAATATCTGAATGGTCATTAGATAACATTTAGGTATCCAAACAAACATCTACAACATGAATAGCTAATCTTATTTTTATTTTGCCTGGTAAAATGTCAGATTGTACATTACTTTGTGACATATGTAATAAATCTCTCTCTCAGCTGCGGCGTATCTGCTGGTGTCTCTCATCCCGAGCAACTCCTTCCGTCAGATGTTCCGCTCCACGCGCTCTCTTCACATCCCCACGCGGGACCTCCCACTGAGTCCCGACACCACCGTGGTTCTGCACCAGGTCTACAATCTGCTCCTGGGCCTGCTGGGCCGGGCCAAGCTCTACGTGGACGTGCCGGTGCACGGGACCACCAAACTGGTGCAGTACTTCAGCTTCATGACCTACTGCCTCATCTCCAAAACCGAGAAGCTCATGTTCTCCAGCTACTTCATGGACCTTTGGAACCTCTTCCAGGTACTTCACGTGCAGACGAAAGCATGTCTAGGTGCTCATATGATGCATATTTGAGCTCTCATGTGTCTCTCTCGATCTCACAGCCTAAGTTATCAGAGCCAGCCATCGCCACGAATCACAACAAGCAAGCGCTTCTGTCCTTCTGGTATAACGTCTGCATGGACTGCAGTGAGAACGTGCGTCTCATCGTCCAAAACCCAGTCGTCACAAAAAACATCGCCTTCAACTACATCCTAGCTGATCACGATGATCAGGAGGTGGTGCTGTTCAACCGCGGTATGCTGCCGGCGTATTACGCCATCCTGCGCATGTGCTGCGAGCAGTCGCCCACCTTCACCCGCCAGCTGGCCTCACACCAGAACATACAGTGGGCCTTCAAAAACCTCACGCCCCACGCCAGCCAGTACCCAGGGGTGAGCACAACATCCTCTGTCCTTCACTTCAGCAGTTTCTGAACCAGTTACCAAAGTTATTACAAGAAATATGACCAAACACATATTTGTCTTTCATTTATATGATAGTTTATCAGTAACTACACCACCATTCAAAAGTGTAATATTTTTAAAAGGTTTTTGAAAGAAGTGTCTTCTGCTCACCAGGCTGCATTTATTTGATCAAAAATACAGTAAAAATAGTAATATTGTGAAATCTATTAAAAATAGCTGGTTTCTATGGTAATATATTTTAAACTGTAATTTATTCCTGTGATCAAAGCTGAATTTTCAGCATCATTACTCCAGTCTTCAGTGTCACATGATCCGTCAGAAATCACTCTAATATGCTGATTTGCGGCTCAAGAAACATTTCTGATTATCAGTGATAAAAAGAGTTGAGCTGCTTTAATATTTTTGTGGAAACTGTGATGCATGTTTCAGGATTCTTTAAATAGAAAGATCAAAAGAACAGCATTTATTGAAAGAAATGTTTTGTTACATTGTTACAAATAGCTTTACTGTCACTATCCATTATCATTATTTATTATGCATTTTTTATTTTATATATTTATGTTATGTTTATTTACTTTTGTTGTTTAAATAATGTTTATTGCTAGAAAAATAAAATCTGCATTTAAACGACATTCCCAAATTTTGATAACAGGTTTGTTATTAATCTCATATTAATAAAATAAATAAAATTAATGCCTATAATAATGCTGCATTTAGTTTGATCTCAAGTTATAAACAACATTTTCAGAGAGTTAAGCATTTCAGTAAACATTTTGTTTATTAATAGTATTTTGTTGAGGTTCAAGCCATGTTTTCATAACATGTGCCTCCTGTTTCTGTTTGAGGGAATATGATGTCTGAATTTAAGTTTCAGCTGTTCAGGTTAATTCAGTTCAAGCAAATAACAGCATGTTTTTTCTTTCTCTGCAGGCGGTGGAGGAGTTGTTTAACCTGATGCAGTTGTTTGTGGCTCAGAGGCCTGATATGAGAGAGGAAGAGCTGGAGGATGTAAAGCAGTTCAAGAAGACCACCATCAGCTGTTACCTGCGCTGTCTGGACGGACGCTCCTGCTGGACCACTCTCATCAGGTACACACACACACTCCTTAAAATCTGAGTATTTATTTTATAAGACGGAGCCATTTTCATTCATACTAAACTCTTTGTGTACTCTCAGTGCCTTCCGTATTCTGCTGGAGAACGATGAGGACAGACTGCTGGTGGTGTTCAACAGAGGCCTCATCCTCATGACTGAGGTATCCATACTCTCACTCTTTTCATGCATCTTCACATTTTAATGGACTGTCCTGTAGAATTAAATATCTCTGTGTCTGCAGTCCTTCAACACCCTGCACATGATGTACCATGAGGCTACTGCGTGTCATGTGACCGGAGATCTAGTGGAGCTGCTGTCCATCTTCCTGTCTGTTTTAAAGGCAACGCGACCCTACTTACAGCGCAAAGGTACTACATTACCCACAATACACCACACATTTCACATGGAGGTTATGATTACCCGTAATGCACCTTAAATAAATAACTCCAGAGTTCTTCATTACTCATGCACTGTAACATGCAATACAGAAGTACTTTATTACCCATAATGCACCTGAATAATCAATACTAAAGTACCCCATAACCCATAATGCACCTTGTGCATTACAAAAGTATTTACCCATAATACACCTAAATGTGGAACACAAAAGTACTCCATTATCATAATCCCATAATACACCTTACCTTGCAATACAAAACTACTCATTACCCATAATACACCTTCACGTACAGTGCAAGTACTCAGTACCCAAAATGCACCTTACAATGCCATGCAAAAGTACTTATTTACCCAAAATACACCTAAATGTGCAGTGCAAAACTACTCATAATGTGCATTTATCATGCAATGCAAAAGTACTCTATTAGCCTTAATGCACCATAACCTGCACTACAAAACAACTCATTACCCATAATCCACCATAACGTGCAGTACAAAAACTACACATTACCCATAATGCACCTATAGAATTAATAATTAAGTACCCATTACCCATAATGCACCTCATGCAACAAAGTACCCCATTGTCATGCAATTTAGCATGCAATGCAAAAGTACTACATTACCCATAATGCACCATAACGTGCAGTACAAAAACTACACATTACCCATAATGCACCTATAGAATTAATACTAAAGTACCCATTACCCACAATGCACCTCATGCAACACAAAAGTACCCCATTATCATGCAATTTAGCATGCAATGCAAAAGTACTACATTACCCATAATGCACCATAACGAGCAATGCAAAAGTACTCGTTAGCCCTAATACAGCTTAATCTGCAGTATAAAAGTACTCATTACCCATAATGCACCTGAAAAATCAATACTAAAGTTCCCCATAACCCATAATGCACCTTGTGCATTACAAAAGTATTTACCCATAATACACCTAAATGTGGAACACAAAAGTACTCCATTATCATAATCCCATAATACACCTTACCTTGCAATACAAAACTACTCATTACCCACAATACACCTTCACGTACAGTGCAAGAACTCAGTACCCAAAATGCACCTTATAATGCCATGCAAAAGTACTTATTTACCCAAAATACACCTAAATGTGCAGTACAAAAACTACTCATAATGTGCATTTATCATGCAATGCAAAAGTACTCTATTAACCTTAATGCACCATAACCTGCACTACAAAACAACTCATTACCCATAATCCACCATAACGTGCAGTACAAAAACTACACATTACCCATAATGCACCTATAGAATTAATAATTAAGTACCCATTACCCATAATGCACCTCATGCAACAAAGTACCCCATTGTCATGCAATTTAGCATGCAATGCAAAAGTACTACATTACCCATAATGCACCATAACGTGCAGTACAAAAACTACACATTACCCATAATGCACCTATAGAATTAATACTAAAGTACCCATTACCCACAATGCACCTCATGCAACACAAAAGTACCCCATTATCATGCAATTTAGCATGCAATGCAAAAGTACTACATTACCCATAATGCACCATAACGAGCAATGCAAAAGTACTCGTTAGCCCTAATACAGCTTAATCTGCAGTATAAAAGTACTCATTACCCATAATGCACCTGAAAAATCAATACTAAAGTTCCCCATAACCCATAATGCACCTTGTGCATTACAAAAGTATTTACCCATAATACACCTAAATGTGGAACACAAAAGTACTCCATTATCATAATTCAATATATCATACAATGCAAAAGTACTCATTACCCATAATACACCTAAAGAATCAATTCTGAAGTACCCCATTACCCTTAATGCGCCTCATGCAATACAAAAAGTACTCTGTTACCCATAATGTACATGCACTGTAATCTCAGTCACTGCTCATTTGTGCGTGTCTGTAGATGTGAAGCAGGCATTGATCCAGTGGCAGGAGAGGATTGATTTCGCTCATAAGCTGCTGACGCTGCTGAACTCTTACAGCCCACCTGAGCTGCGTAACGCCTGTCTGGGTGAGTCACCACATCCACGAACCAGATTTCAGATAAACCGAAGTAGCAGATGAACGTGATCTGAATGTGCATGTTTATCATTCTCAGATGTGCTGAAGGAGCTGGTGCTCTTGAGTCCTCATGACTTTCTGCACACGCTCGTGCCCTTCCTGCAGCACAACCACTGCACTTACCACCACAGCAACATCCCCAGTGAGTCCCGCCAAACCCTTCATACACACAGCACTGATCATCATCATCACGATCACCGTGATCTCTAACACTGTGTCTGTGTGTGTTTGCAGTGTCGTTTGGCCCGTATCTGCCCTGTAGAGAGAATATCAAGCTGATGGGTGGAAAGAACAACATTCGACCTCCCAGACCGGAGCTCAACATGTGCCTGCTGCCCTCGATGGTGGAGACCAGTAAGGTGTGTATGAGACCAGCGCATGAATCCTGTCACATGCTGAGCTTGAGTTATTCATCGAGTGCGTTTTGTGTTTCCTGTAGGGTAAAGATGAGGTGTATGACAGGATGTTGTTGGACTACTTCCTGTCGTATCATCAGTTCATTCACCTGCTCTGCCGAGTTGCCATCAACTGTGAGAAGTTCACTGAGACTCTGGTGAAACTCAGTAAGGATGCTTCACTCTCGAAAGCTCTGTTTGACTATGTGTGTGTGTGTGTGTGTGTGTGCTGATGGTGTTTATTCACTTGTGTGCAGGCGTGTTGATAGCATATGAAGGACTTCCTCTACACCTGGCTCTCTTTCCAAAACTATGGACAGAACTTGCTCAGTCTCAGGTAAAATCTTCTCAGTCTTCTGTCACACAAACGTAGAGGTCATGTCTTACAATGATTTTACCACAGGTTAAGCATGATGAGATGTGGAGTGCCTAAAGCTCAATCAACTCCAAATCAAAACTGTGTTAAAATTGCCGTCATGCCTAGCTTTGAATTATAATTTTTTAAAAATATAATAATAACATTATTGTTATTATTATTATTATCACATAGCTAATCATTAATAATCAATTTAATATCAAAACTGTGGTAAAATTACTATCATGCATGGCTTTGAATTATTCTATTTTAATTATTATTATTATTATTATTATTATTACATTTATTTATAATAATAATAATAAATATTTATTTGTTTTATTTTTTTCAATAAGAAATGTTAGCAACAGTTAAGGGTGCAAAAAGAAAATATGCATTTCTTCATGTTACATATTCCCATAATCACATTTTAAGCTCTAATTACACAATACAATATGTGTCCCTGGAGCACAAAACCAGTCTTAAGTCGCTGGGGTATATTTGTAGCAATAGCCAAAAATACATTGTATGGGTCAAAATTAGCGATTTTTCTTTTATGCCAAAAATCATTAGGATATTAAGTAAAGATCATGTTCCATGAAGATATTTTGTAAATTTCCTACTGTAAATATATTAAAACGTAATTTTTGATTAGTAATATGCATTGCTAAGAACTTAATTTGCACGACTTTAAAGGCGATTTTCTCAATATTTTTTTGCACCCTCAGATTCCAGATTTTCAAATAGTTGTATCTCGACCAAATATTGTCCTATCCTAACAAACCATACATCAATGGAAAGCTTATTTATTCAGATGATGTATAAATCTAAATCTAAAGACTGGCTTTGTGGTCCAGGGTCACATATTATGGTATGGTAATAATAATAATAGTAATAGTAGTAATAATAATAATTTATATATATTATAATTTATTATAATCTTTCCTCTACTCCTCTAATATTTCCTATCTATTTATAATAAGAAAATATTGTTTTATTTACTTTTAAATATAGTTTTTATTTACAAAAAACTATATTTTTATACATAATAATAATAATAATAATAATAATGTATTTTCAAAGTGCTCAAAGTCACTTTAAATGAGACACACAACAATAATCACACATTAAGCAATTATTTTTAAAACACATTACATTAGTGTAATTTTTAATTACACAGTTCTGTATGTCAGTTGGATTCCTTATATGGGCGACACTACAGGTGGCCTTTAAGCAGCAGATATTTCAGAGGCATAATTATGAAAATAAAGCAATTTCATCCAATCAGAAGTGAGAATCTGATGTGTGTGTTTTCTGGTCTCTGTCAGTGTGCGATGGCTCAGTCGTGTGTGAAGCTGTTGTGTGAGGATCCAGCGTTTGGAGAATACATGAAATGCATCCTGATGGACGAGAGAAACTTCCTGAACAACAACATCGCCTACTCCTTCCTCACCTGCTTCTTACATAAAGTAAATACATGCACATCTGCTTCTCACGCAGATTTAATGTAGCCATGGGTTATCTTCACTTAGTTTAATAATGCTATTCTGGAGTTACTGCACAACACTCTTGAATACTTGATTTTGATCGGTCAATTCTGTGGCCAAAAATATAATTGACTGTTGTCCCAGAAACGGTGCTAGTTTTGTGTCTCATGGTGCTAACACGTAATTACAAGTGTGAAACCTTGTTCAATGCAAGTTACCCAAATTTAAGTTTATTTTGAAAAGTTTCTTCTTTGCTCTCTGACATTGAGCTTCTCCTGCTGCTGTTTAAAACTTGATTTGTGTGTTTAGGTGCAGGTGCAGGTGTTATCAGGCCAAAGCTGCTCGAATCTCGTCAACGTGTTGGTGACCAACCTACTGAACGAGTACCACAGCCTGCAGCCTGAGCTGACCAATCAGAGAGCAGAGTTGAGCAAGACCAGCAGCCTCCTGAACGCAGTCAGTACAGCTCCACCTCACTTCTTACCCAGCACTCCAGAGCTCTTTATTCATCCCTCTCTCTCTCTCTCTCTGTCTGTTGAAGGATCTGCGTGCGCTGCTGCTGGTGCTGTCAGTTTACGCCCCTCAGCAGCTGGATCCTGCTTTAGGTCCGGCTCTACAGGAGCTGCTGTCCAAATGCAGACTGTGTCTGCAGCACCGCACCACTTTAGAGATGGAGGCCAAGGAACGCAAAGCCAAAGGTGTCAATACACACACAAACACGCTCGTTTCACTGCCATGCAAAAATAAAAATAAATAGTAGTAGTAGTAATAGTATTTTATTTATTTATTCATTATTTTAAATAATCATTGATTTATAAAAATGGTAGCAACAGCTAGGGGTACAAAAAAGGAGAATGTTTTCTTGTACATCATGGCTTTGAATTATTTAATTAATAATAATAAAGTACATTTTAATATTTTAATACAGAAAATGTTTTTTTTGTAACTAATAACAATAATACTTTTATTTAAAGAGCCCTTTTCAGGGTACTCGAAAACACTTTAACAAGTTTTATTTAAAAAATAAAATAATAAATATTAAATAAATATCTTAAAGTAAATATTTAAAAATAAATACAATTTGTTGGTGAATATTTATTTATTTATTTATTTATTTATAAAAATGGTAGCAACATCTAAGGCTACAAAAAAGGAAATACGCATTTCTTGTACACCACGGCTTTGAATTATTTAAAATATGATATAATATTTATTTATTTAAATAAATATAAAATAGCAACAGCTAGGGGTAAAAAAGAACCTTTTTTACATCTTACAAATGACTAAAAGTACATTTTAAACAGTGATTACATATTGTAATTATGCATAAATTTAAATATATATATCTTACGCATGATAGTACTATTAGTAATAACAGAACACTTTTCAAGGAACTCAAAACGCTTAAACACTTTAAAGGGGTCATATGATGCTGCTAAAAAGAACATTATTTGGTGTATTTGGTGTAATGAAATGTGTTTATGCGGTTTAAAGTTAAAAAAACACATTATTTTCCACATACTGTACATTATTGTTTCTCCTCTATGCCCCGCCTTTTTGAAACGCGTCGATTTTTACAAAGCTCATCAGTCTGAAAAGCGAGGTGTGCTCTGATTGGCCAACTAGAACGAGCCGTTTTAGGTAGGCGTGGTTAACTCTTAACTTTTATAAAGAATATCTCTTTGGATTTGAGACTTTAGTCTTTGCAACTTTACAGATCTTCTTTATGCACCAAGAGCTTGTAACACTCCAAAGAGAAAGGAAAAAATGAAATCGCATCATATGACCCCTTTAAATGAAACACAACATTAATCACACAAAGCAATCCTAAATGGTATAATTTTTAAATTATAAAAGTAAGCATTTTTAAGTGGGTATTATGCATAATGCGCACTTATTGTTGATGACATCACTGGGTTCATGTTGCTTCATTTTATATCTCTCTCTGTTTTGCAGTGGAAGAGGAAGGTGTCACTCCAGTGAAGCGCCGGCGGGTGAGCAGCAGTGCTGAAGATCGGCCGGCAGACAGCATCTGTCCTCCATCTGTTTCCTCCTCATTGGCTCCCTGCTCGGAGCAGAAGGCGGAGCCAGGGGAGGCATTAACGCCCACCAGCACTTCGGACACCGAAACCCGAGACTCCTCCCTCATCGACCCGGGAGTGGAAAACGACCCACCCTCTCCTGACAGTGCGTCCCTCGAGGAGAAGAAAATGGATATTTCTTCTTCATCTTCATCATCATCTTCGTCATCATCCTCCTCCCTTCCTGAAGCGTTTGGCCGAGCGGACGAACCTCCACCGCAGAGAGCTGGAAGAGAGGAGGAGGAAGAGGAAGATGGGCGGAAGGAAGTGCAAGAGCAGGAGGCGGAGCCAGAGCGAGAGGAAGTGCCCTCCACTTCCTCCTCCTCCTCCTCCGCTGACTCGGTGCTTTTACTCTCCAGCCTGCCGGATGCTGCCGAGGGGCGGAGCTGCTCGCTTCAGGAGGCGGAGTCAGGCGGGTGTGGCCACGCCCCCGTGCAGGATGCTCTGGAGATGCTGTCGCGCACAGTCGAGGCCACGATTGCTGTGGTTGCCAAACTTTCGAACGGGAAAGGAGGGACACGCCCCTCAGCTTTGTGACGTTACTATCGCATCCCTCCTTTTTCGCATTTCACATTTTCACGTTCGCCATGCTGTTCAGTTTTGTCTTTTTAAGAGTAGTTGGACATAGTAATTGAAGTCCAACTTTTTTTTTTTTTTTTTCCGCTCTTTGGCCTCGCTCTTTATCTGTTTTAGGTTGCAACACAAAAAGTTCAGTTTTCCGGTTCCAGAAAACTGAGCTCTGCATTAATTGTACAGAACGAAAAAAAACAAGTGGAGTGTATTTTTGTCAAAGGGCAGTTTTTTTCTTTTTTAAACCGTGATTTTGTTGGTTTCTTTGTTTTGAAGTGGTTTGTTTTCAAGGCTGCAGTGAAACAGGGAAAAGGTTTACAACGTTTTAGTCCCATCAGTGCATAATTTAATTTGATTTTATTCACGTGTATTATTATTATTATTATGATTGTCTTCTGTGCCAGTTTTGTACTTACAGATGTGAGGCTGAGAAGGCCTTGCTGTGTTTTTTTTTTTTTTTCTCTGTGGTGGATATCAAAAACTATGTTTACTTTGTATATTGAAAAGAAAGAACGAACCACAAGAACCTTGATTCTGTAAAGAATCTTCTAGATGTTGCCTGGCTTTGTAAATGAGATGGTTAAAATATATATATATGTATGTATATATATATATATATATATATATATATTTCTGTAAGATGTATGTATACAGTATATATCCATTCAAGCGCCGTATACTGTATATATAAATCTACTGTGTATATATATACCTACGTTGTGTATATAGAAACTTACGGTGCTCTTTTCAGGCTCAGAACATTTGTGGCCGGAATATTGCACATTTGATGGAACAGTTGGAGCTCTATTTTATTTACCGAAATACATTCCATAATCTATTGGATGTCATTCTTGCGTTCTCTGTATTTGATTTCTCTCTGTCTTTCTGTTTTGATTTATTTTAATATAGGATATAACTTAATAAAATTTTAATATGATTTAATTATGAATCAAGTCCAAAAAGCAGGTTGTGAGGTGATTTTTATTCTTTTTTTTTTCTTTCTGCTGAGTGTAACTAGTGGCTGATGGCTGTGTTTGGAATAGAATACTAGTGTACAGCATACTATAGTGTACACTGCATACTTCCTACCTTTTTTTTTTTTGCTGTAAATGCAACAATAAACATTTCAAATTGTATTATGTTGCATTGTTTACCAGAAGCAAATTTTATTTTATTTCAGAAATTATTACTGGTTTTTATATTTTTTTAATGCATTTTTTTTGCGTAAATGCCTCAACATTTGGCATTCAGGTTGGATTAATCTTAAAAAAAATAATAAAAAAGTAGTGTGCTAGTATGCTTTTCTGAGCACAGCCCAAAGCACAAACTGGATGGAAGTGTGCTGGATTAAAACTCAAGTCTCATTTGTGGATTGACCTGTGATAAATACACACATACACACACTTCGGTTAAGAAACATTTTTTAAAAGTTAAATCATTCTAAAAAGGTATTTACATCAAAGATACAAATTAAAAGCGTTTTGATACACAATCATAGCTGGGCCAGTTAAAGTGCAAAAGCCTACTGTTATTTGTGAGCAGGTTTTGGGATGTCCAAGTCCCATTGTAAAAGACCACATTGAAAAGGAATTATCAAAATGCAAGGCAGTTGAATGTACATATTAAAAACACGGATACAAAGATTTTTGCTCTTTTCCAAAAATGAGTGAGTTTAAGCATCTTAACTGAAATGAAACCTAGAAGTGACTGATATTGCACACACTACATAGGCAGCAAGCATAAAATGTTGAGTAAAATTGACAATTTTTCATTATTAACTGAAAGAAGTATATTTATAGTCAACATTTCACTCTGTCTTGTCACAATGCATTATGGGATTAGCTTGTATCTTTTGGAATTGCCTTAAAATGCAACTCACTAAGTTTTGGAACAGAGATTTAACAGCGTGTCAGAATTCATTTTAAAACTCATGAAGTCTTCTAATCCATCAGGATGTTTTCATAGGGCAGAGATGCTGCTTCCAGTTTTCAAATCTGCATCATTTTCGGAATATCTTTCAAACTCGCGTGTGTTACTGAACTCAACCTGAAAAACAAAATTTGTAATGCATTTGTAAATGCAAGCTTTTCAGTTCCACAGAATACTGGCTGAATTCTAATTCTGAATGGAGTGCTTTACCTCTTTGGCTTCTTCTTTTTTGCTATCAACAGAAGAAACATGTTTAGTCAAACATCTCAGAACAAAACTGATGCACATTTTGTATTTGAGATCAAATTTTTAACATGTGTGAGTGTATCTTAGCATCTGCTCTTTGACAATATAATGATGTTTACCTGGAAAAGTTAAAACTACTGTCAATACTTGATCTGGTCTTGGTTCTGCCAATATTGAAGCCCTCTTTGTCCGAATCCGTGTACTTCATTTTCTTATTCCTGAGGCAGCAAAAATAATTATAAATATTTTTACGCTTGAAAAAAGTTTCCCCCTAAAAATGAGTAGTCCTTTTGAAAAACGTTCAAAGTCAACATACAGTTTAATCAGTATGATGTCTGAACGGCCACCAATAAGTTACCTAACGAGATAGACAGTCGTCAGAGTGATGAGTCCCACAATGCTTATAGCCAGCAGAACACCGAGAGCGATTACTGCTGCTTGACTGGAATCTTCCGAATTGTTTCCAGAACCATCCTCCACTTTGAATTCCAAATCGGAACCAAACACCTTCTCCAGCTCCACTTTTAAAGCGTTGTGATTACTCCGCAGTTTCCTGTAGGAGTCGACAATTCAGATCCCTCAAACTCGCGTCTAAATTACATAGACTTTTGCTTCAGTGGAAACCAAGTAGGCTTTAAAAGGAGACATGTGAAAAAATTAATGAATATATTGCATTTCTAACTTACTCTTTGACCTCCGTGGCTTCAATGACAGCACCACTGGAGTCCATGGCAATGAAGCTGATGTAAGTCTTGACTGTAGATTCCCGGAGAATGGTGCGCATCTCGATCCCATCCTCAGCTTTGAATTCCAAATCGGAACCAAACACCTTCTCCAGCTCCACTTTTAAAGCGTTGTGATTACTCCGCAGTTTCCTGTAGGAGTCGACAATTCAGATCCCTCAAACTCGCGTCTAAATTACATAGACTTTTGCTTCAGTGGAAACCAAGTAGGCTTTAAAAGGAGACATGTGAAAAAATTAATGAATATATTGCATTTCTAACTTACTCTTTGACCTCCGTGGCTTCAATGACAGCACCACTGGAGTCCATGGCAATGAAGCTGATGTAAGTCTTGACTGTAGATTCCCGGAGAATGGTGCGCATCTCGATCCCATCCTCAGCTCTCACACTGAGGATTTTCACAGTCAAACCTAAAGCTTTCTTCATGGAACTGAGAAAAAACACCAATAAAACATTCAGTATGATTTGTGAACTGCAACAAGTTTACTGAAAAGAACCAACTCAAAAAGAACGTTTTTTCAAGTACGAGGGGTTCTTGAGGTCAGCTCACTGCAGTTATAGAGATTGAGTGAATAATGATGTCAGTTTTAGTCTTTTTCTCACTCAAAGTGACTTTAGAAGATTTGGAAGATATGCATAAGGACTATATTATTGGCGCTTGATCGGCCCATGGTCACTGTGAAAAAAAAAGCTTTCCTTTTGTCTTACAGTGAAAAGTCTGCAGCATCATGTTTGGAATAACGTGACGGTGAGTAAATAGTGACAAAATGGGTGAACAATTTGGACAAACATACTTCCCCTTACTCTCGGTCTCAAAACACAAATTACAATGATTAAATTTCCCTTCTGTCCCCATGCAAAGTAGGCTGAGAAATGGCAATTCTCCTACTCTTCAATCTCTGGTATCTTCTTCTCCACTGTGAACACGGGCTGGTTTAGAGAGAGGACCACGACGTTGTCACTTTCACTTTCTTTCACTGTGAACTGTTGGTGGAAAACATGAGAGCTTGTTTTCATCTTTTCAGTTTTCACAGTTCTCAGTCACAATGCCTTTGGTAATTTGAAAAAGCCTTCTAATTTTTTTCTCCCTCTCTCTATTTCTTAATACCTCAAGTTTTGTAGTCGTGAACAGTCCATGTTTATCAGTGGCTTTAACGTGTAAAGTGAACAGACCGCCGCCAACACTAGATGCATCCAGCACATAGATCTGACCAGTGTTTGCCTCCACTTCCACCAGAGATGTGGACTCCAGTAGTGAATACTGCAAATCTGAGCTCTCGCCAACATCAGGGTCTGATGCCTGAGGGACACACGACATTTCAACCACTTAGGTAGAAAAAAAAAACTTAATTACAATTAACTATTTCTCTAGTCTATGACTTATATACAGTTCTGCGTTTTATGTATTTCCATTTTGCAAGGATCTTCGAGGAGGTTAAGTAGAGCATTAGCCATAAAGTTGCTAAGATGTTCTGGGTGGTTGCTAGGTGTTTGCTTTCTGGCCCGAGTCAAAAGAGCCCACCCCTAAGCCTCTATGATATTCTAGTCTCTAGATATTCTTCCAGTGTAAGAAATACTATTTGTAAGCAATAGTAACAGTGATGCTTACCTTGGTAAATGCCACTATATATAAAATAAGTCTGAGTACATCCATTGCATTTACAGCTGATGTCTATGCCCTCTTTTGAAAACCACCAGCCACATCTGAGATTCACTTACCTGGATCTTCACTATAGGGAATTTGTATGGAGTGATACTGAAAATTTCTGCCTTATATATTTCAGTGTCAAACACAGGAGCTTCATTTACATTCTCAACCTGAACGCTGACCTGAAAATTAAGAGAGAGTAAGTTAAGTGCTACTATATATAATTTGGCTTTAACATGTGTTGGAACATCAAGACTTAGGCCCGAAACACATTCTATGCAAGTATGTGAACACAAACTTTTCTAGTTACACAAACTTGTCATTGCATTCTTACATTTGTCAGAAAGCAATTCGTATTGCTACAAAAGTTCTTTGTGCATGCTCAGTGTTGCATCAAGAGGTGCTGTTTCCTTGAGTTGTCTTCTAGGACAACTACTCAACATGCATTTTAGCTATCTACCATTGGTGTTTGCATACTTGTGTAGAGTATGTTTCTGGCCTTAGTTTGTAGTAAGAATAGTACCGTTGTCTCTGCAGTGTTTGGAGGTGTTCTGGAGTCTATGGCCTCTACGGTGAGGATGTACCACTCCTCTTCCTCCTTGTCCAGTGGTCTGAGAGCTTTTATGGTTCCTTCCTCATCCACAGAGAAGACATCCTCGTGTGACTTCATGTTATAGCTGACTGTAACCAGTGGACTCCCTGGTAATGCCTTGACCTTGCCTACTATTGTGGCCTCAGGTTCATTCTCCTTAATT